TGAGAATGAGCTTGAGAGGGGGAGAGAGCAAGGCTCAATATGAGCTTGACTGGTTATAATTTTATCATTGATGATTGGTCCAGTAGTCTCAAAGCTCCATGAAATTGCAAATAGGATGGTCTCTTCCAGCTATCGGAACGAGTATTGCGATGCTTTTAGTAGCTTGAGAAGGGAATTCCTCGAAGAAAGCATTCTCAGAGTAGGATTTCAGAAGCTCGGCGTCGAAGATGTTTAGAAGATGGGAAACAAGATGGGGTAGAGAGTCAATGAAATTAGACATCCAAACGATGTACCAATATAATAAAATAAGATGATAATGTTTTTCCATTGAGGTGGTAAAAACTTGCTTTTTTTTTTTTTGGCTGTGAATATTTTTTTTTTTTTACATCCAAACTGGCCCTAAATTTTATAACGGTAGATGAAAATGAATTTTTGGGCCATCATAAATATCTCTTGTACTAAAATGACATCTTTCGACACTATTTTAAGATGCGCCTTACTTTTATTGGTTAGGGCCTTGGCCGCATCCCAATAAGTAATTTTGTCTTTCATAGCACAAACAAAATCTATTCATCATATTAACCAAATCAGATGAGTTTTCTCGGGAATCGGGCAATCCGGATAGCCCATAGCATGGTTGACACCTAATTTAAAATCTTAAAATTACTAATTTAAATTATTCAAAATATAAATCAATCTTTTAATATTTTTTAGATTGGTTGGGAGATCCTGGTTCAATCTGCTGATCCGGGTTTTTAAATAAGCAATTCCAATTAAAAGACCCCACAAAACTGCCTGATAGTCCTTACATATTCAAGTTCAACAGGTTTTGAAATACATTCCCTTCCTCTCTCCCCCATTGGAATAAGGGATGGGGGTAGTGGTGATGGCACCCCCATACTTTAGTCATCACGTTGTGGTTTTTGTTCCTACCGACTCCTCCTTATTAACATTTTTTTAAAAAAAACTAACTTTTAAACTATTTGAAAAGAAAAAATGAGTAGGGATCAGCTTTCCCCACTGAATTATCCAAAAATAAAAATAAAAAAAACACATTCAACATTCAATAAAGATCACCATTTTCCATTTGCACAAACCTTCATAAGTGAACTTAGATGGCTGGAGTGTGTCATTCCACTGCTCTAAGTTAATCAAACAACCGAGCAAAGGAACGACAAACCAAACTGTGAATTTCACTTTTTGAGCAAAGGATCACATGCATGATTTTTGCAGTTCTTACATGCATTTTCCCGTTATTCTTCTTTATTTCTTTTGTGCGAGTCCAAAGTAGTTCATTTATGGGAATGGGGTTGAGGTCGTGGTGGTAGCACCACTTAAGCCTCAGCTACTGATCTAGATTTTCCATTACCACTGATGCATTAAAAAACTACTAAATATTTTTAAAAATGAG